CTGTGAATGTGTTGCCGAGGGCTTCAATGCAACGTTGGTCCTAACATCATTAGAGGGCCTCTTTGTGTCACTCCTCTCTGCATCAGTCTGGCCTCAACACTTTGGCGACCTGTTTGTGAATGAAGTAAGGCTTCTGCCTGGTATGCACACTTCGAAGTGTCAGTCAAGGTTGTTTAAGGAAAATCCCCCCCCCCCACTATTCCCTTGTTCTAGGAGGTAAGTGAAACCTTCCAGATTTTTTCGTCGAAAAAGACAATATAACGATAGGCGGCGGCAATCAAGGAAACCCCAAAAATGCAGTTTTTACTAAACGAAATAGTTTATTGCATGTAGTAGTCTTACAAATCCTCTGCATGGAAGTAATTGGCAACTTTCAATATTCGTCTCCAAATTGTATAAGTTATAATATTTTATTGTAGTACCGCGCTGCTAAAGAGACCTTCCGAGCACAGTCAAGGCTGCACGTGCGTGGCTGAAAAACGCCTAGGCTAGCAGCACCTCATCTTTAACTTTTCAAACTCGTCGTAACGTTTCAGAAAATACACATTCACATGGATACTGAAGTTGATTCGCTTTGGAGCCATGGCATACACTACAGGCCCAAAACATGTTGCACTGCGAACATGTCCTACTGCTGACTGGAGTACCCAAATGAACGAGCGTTGTGCACATATTGAACAAGCGGAAATGTTCAAGAAGAAAGTCTCCTTTCATAGTCGGGAGGAATAATTCCCCTCTCCAATAGAGAGGAATATCTTATCCCTTTTCCTTCCCTGAATGCCCATCCGATTCAGTAACTAATAGTGACAGAACAGTGGTCGGAGTGTGCAACAATAATTTAAAAAAACCGGGCGACAAGTGATATCATAAATTGGAGAAAAGTACTCATGAAATATTGGATTTGGTTTTGGCTTTCGAGATTTGATCATATTATCCAGCTGATGACACTAGTCAGCTAACACAATCAGCGGTATATACTTATTCGCAATACTACTCCATATCGGATGCTTTTGTTTCGGAAAGCGTGGGCCAGTGATTTTAATCGTATTGGATTCATTTGGGTTTTATATGTGGCTCTTAATGCTTTCCTCTTCTGTCCTCTATAACTTCTCAGGTGACCTTAATACCTATTATTCGAATTATTGAGGATTATTCAAATCTGCATATTTTGCCCTTGGGCTTTTCTTTGGCCACGGAAATGAGTACCTCGTCTATCGAAAGAAATTTCCATACCGCTCCAACAAGACTGAGTTTTCCAGTTCAAGCCGCAATCACAAGAACTCTTACTCTTACAATGAAAACGGACATTTATCTAGCAGGCAGGTTCTGCCGTGTCTTTGCCTTACTGACTGTTTCTAAACTCATGTATAAATCTTCCATGATGTGACAAGAACTAGCGGTAAACCCCCGTTAGCCAACTCTCGCGACATTGCTATTCTTGGTTGAAATCGCTTGTTTCATCGCATTCATCAAAGGAAGCGATGGATATCAATCGACTTTCATTGAAACTCAGGACAGGAACTATAATGTACCTGAAACTTGTCCAATCATTTATTGACAAAACCGAAAAAAAATCACTAATAAAACATTATCGTTGGCAGAAAACCTCCGATTCTTCTCCATTAGGTCTGGAAACAACATTTCAAAGTCAATGCCATTCAGCTGGAAAGTGAATCGCGTTTTTGATCAGTAGACTTACCCGATCGCTAGCCGAACTATCTATGAGCTGTGAAACTCGAGTGTCTAGTCGAGACGTGCCCAGCATACGATGGGAATGTGACATACTGGTCCACGGTGTCCTGGTTTCTCCCCGCTGATGTTTGAAACAACCAAATCAATTTCAAGGCATTCGACTTTTCGACAGAAATCCGCAAAAAATGCAATGAAGGATATCCCCACCTTTACGGATGAGGTTGCGAATAGCAATCCTTTCTGTGCGAGCGTGACTCGGACTGATTGCATTAGCCTTCGATTGAGGAGGCAGTGAAATAGAAAGATCAGCAATCCCTACGACGAGGAGGAGAATGCAATGCATACATTTTCTTATCGAAAATGTAGACTACAGGGTGGGCCATAAATATACATACCACTAGTAATTTTTCTTTTCTGTACGCCTATGAACAGCATATAGAAAAATGTTTTGCACCTCAATTTTAGTTCCTCTTTGGTGGTCAACCTCGGCTGCATTAACATGAATGCTTCTCAGCCTAGAAATGGCTTGAGGTTAAAAAAATTGTCTTGCTGACCATGAGACAGAAATGATGAAGGAATAAGAATGACTCCCATACTACTCAGACCGTAACCAAACCGATTACTGTATTCGAAGACTCCTGGATGCAAGTGCCCATAAAGTAAATCCAGCGACCCGAACCAGTTAAGGTTCGTGCCGAAAGAGGAGTGAAACCATGTCCCTTCGGTGCCATCGACTGACTGATTCATAGATTGTAGGTTGCCGTCAAGAAGAACGGGAACACATCGAACATATTTTGTGAATAGATACTGTGAGCCCTTGTGTGTTGTTGAGATTCAACTGATTCCATGAGAAGTCATTAGTACAGGAAATACAAGACTTCTAATTGGTATGAATATTTACGGCCCACCCTGTATGCTATTGTAGACTACCCAAGAAAACCTTTTGTCAATTATTAGGCGTTTCTCGATTCAGATGATAATCAATTAACGTAATTAGGCAGTGAGAACATCATAATGTGAATATATGCTGAATATTTCTGAAGGATCCGGTGAAAACAGCAAATATAGGCCACAATGGCTCCTTGGGATTAAACGTTAATGCGCTCCCTAGGAATTTCACGCGCAAGGTAATGGATTTCTTTTTTTAATGTTGCATTTTCATTGATTATGTAACTCCACTGAGGGAGTTCAACCTCCGTTTGACTGGTAAAGGGGGTTGAATGAATGCTGGCAATATTCTGGTGAAGTCACGTCATTAAAGTATGATTTGAGGAAGCGATTTTGTATTGAGGAACATCTTACTAATGAAATCTAGCCATGTAACTTTGGTTTATTAGAATTCTTCGGTCTACCCGTAAATAAATGGGGGGAAAACAAATATATATAATTATTGCAGCATTGATTGGCTCACTTCGCGATTATTGGTAGGGAAGTAACATTTTTCTATCTGGACCGCCCTTAAAAAAACGTACACCTGAATCCAGGAGGGCTGAACGACAATGTAGATAAACCTGGTTCGAAAACCATATTCTATGTCTCTTTCTGGATCGATATTGAACCAGGTGGATATACAGGGTGGTTCATAAATACCTCTGGGGTTGTAAGAGGAAATAAAAGACTCATGACAAATTACTTCATACTTATATATGTTCCCATGACAACCTGGGCATATGAAAATTCTAGGACAATCGCATAGGTAGATCACTTGTGGAAAATGACGTCACTAAGGTGGTCGCCATCGCGCTCGACACATTCTCGTGCATAGTCCACTACAGCGTGCATGACTCGCTGCAACATCGCGACTACTTTTTCCCGTAAGGGATTTTCCAGAGCCTCCAAGGTTGCAGGGTCAGCGGGGTGATCGTCCAATGTAGTGATCGGCCCGTACTGTTTCAAGAACGACGATGGCGACATGATCACCAACAACGCTGCATTCTACGTCCAAATGTTGCAGTCGTTTTTGGACGTGGAGATTCGTCGACGTGGCCTTTCTCCTGAAATACGGTTCCAGTAGGACGGGGCGACAGCCCACACCGCCCGGATGAACATGAATGTCCCCCGGAGAATCTTTCCTGGGCGCGTGATATCCAGATATGGGGATCTTCATTGGCCATCGCGGTCGCCGGACCTAGCAGCTCCTGATTTTTTGTGGGGATATTTGAAGAGCCTGGTGTGCCACACAGACCCTGCAACCTTGGAGGCTTTGGAATATCGCATACGGAAAAAAGTAGCCGCTGTGCCCGTCGCAATGTTGCAGCGTGTCATGTATGCTGTAGTGGACAGTGACGAGAATGTGTCGAGCGCGATGGCGGCCACCTTAGTGACGTCATTCTCCACTAGAGACCTACCTATGTGATTGTCCTAGAATTTCCACATGCCCAGGAGACCATGGGCACAGATATTAGTATGAAGTCTATTGTCATGAGGCCTTTATTTCCTGTTACAACTCCTGAGGTATTAATGTACCACCCTGTAAGTCTGGCACATGGATTTCCGTCTGAAGAGAGATCTACCTGGTGACGCTTGATGAGTATTCTAGACATCCTTGCATGAATTGATAATTCCCAGGTTACCTGAGAGGAATTGACAATGGTGAAAAGGTAGACGAAGACAGGCGTGACTTGCATGTAGAAGAATCCAAATATCCAACCGACCCCCAGTAAACACGACAGGGATGCCGTGGTCCAAACTATGTACCTGGACCATTTCAATATTTTCTGGTGTCAACATTTGAAGCCGTATCAAATTGTTCCGAGAAAGACGAATCCTGACTTACACTTCGTTTCTCCGATTGGAATGTTGGGCGTTTCTACTGCGACTAATGTTTCGAATCGCCAGACACATGAAAACAGTGTTAAGGAGAATAATGACCAGGACCGGTCCGGCGAAGGACCAGATGTAGTGAGGTGATGACAACCAGCAGCTGGGAAAAAAGAGAATAAACTAACATTTGAGGAATATTAGTTTTACTGTGGCTTTCTTGATGCCCACCGCATCGTCCTACACAATGTAGATGCTCTTGATCATTCATCGAATCCCTTAGTCCCTTAGTCAGGCTGGGAACATCCAATGCGCAGATGTTAGACCTTTGAAAGTTCATCCAAATAATATGACCAGATTCCGGAGCCTTTAATGCAATAATGTAATAAAATAATTTTCTTATGTCAAGCTAGTTATTATGACATTTCAGGGATCTACAATCATTTTGTTTAAATATGCATTGACTTCAAAGAAGACAAAAAAATGGTGTCCTAGGATATGGCAATGTTTCTAACAATTCCTAGGAGCTTTGAGCATTGAATCAGGTCTCACAATTCTCCAGAACCATATCCGCATGAATCAGTGCCGAATGACACCGCAGCAGTGATGCCGACGATCCCGGAAGGAACCCCGTAACCGATGATGAAATACGCCCGAGTGGAGAGATTGGAACTGCTTGGAAATACCAGGACAAGTTGACGATAGATGAAAAGACCCTCCATGGCCATCCACATGAAGGCACATAGGAATATGAAGTGGAGAAAGATCCCTGAGATGGTGCAACCTATCTGCATTATGAAAGAAGTTTGGGTAAGCGAAAAAATATCTAGAAATTCAAATTTCAATCTGTATCAGTTGTAGTAACTACGCTACGAAGAGACATGAATGAGGAAGGTTTTTTGTGATGTCATTTGTTAGAATATGAAAAAGGCTTGATATAGTTTTGAGTTGAAAAATTTTGTTCACATGCATAAATAAATATGGGTTATAGATTTTCAAGTGCCAAACAGTTTTTTTGCATGCCAACCTTTTTTCAATTGATAATGGATGGAAAAATTAGCATCCATACTTAGATCTAGTGCAGAAGTTTTCAGTCAAATTTCAGTATCCTTCTAGCCAGGAAAGTTCTAAAACAATCTGGAAATATTTCATGTGCTCCTGATACAATCAGGTCTTGCTAAATGATTTATGAAAGGATAAAATGTTTACCAAGAAGGTAAATTGATGCAATTATGTAATATGGTCCAGATCGAGTGATATTCCAGAAATTTCATATCCTCACCTGAGACTGATTGAAGATTTGTCGGTCAATGAGAAGAAGGAGGAAAATGTGGCCTAACAAGAGGCAAATACATAACTGCTTGTTCAGCTTCACCGACTTTGGATTTCCATTTCTAGAGTTGATTAAACCTCCAGTATAGACAACCAAGGTTTCAAAGTTCTTTTAATAAAATGCAAGAACTTACTTATTTATCTGAAAAATGATCAAAGCGAGTATGAGTCCGATTATGGAGAGGGAAGACAAAATGATGGTGAGCACCTCCAATACTATGCCACGTCCCTGAAAGGAACCCATCCTCTTGTAATACCATCTCCTTACTGTAGGTTTTTCCGACGATATTCAGCATAATTTCAATCTAATTCGGCCACAGTTCTTCCAATTTAGGCAGGAAATATGCTCGCCCTTGTTTCCGTTTCAATTTCTGTTTCGGTGTCTTTATTTTTTTTTAGAATCCTTTGGGACTCGTTTGACACTCGGTTGAGAATGAATTGCGTTTGATGAAGTAATTCGTGCACAAAGACAATGTCAGAGACAGTACGCTAAAACATGCCGCATTCTTGCCATATTTCCGAATTAGGGATTGCTACCATGCAAGAAAAAATCTCATCTCTCGCGTCTCCGAAGTTCTTCAAGAATGCCCAAAGGAATGACGTACATTTCCCATTCTTCGAGGCCAAGGGAGAAAGCGTATTGACGGCTAGAGTGAGTTTTATTATGGATTTGTTTTGACCGTAGTAGAGTAATTGAATAGGATTGAGTAGGAGAGAAAGCTGATTTTTCAGCTAAATAGATAATAAACCGTGAAACCCATTCCACTTTTCTCATTAGGAATCATGGACGCACATTTTTTCCCATAGTCCATGCAGCTTTTCATGAAAGGCTGAAAATTCTATTCATTGAATTCCATAAGGACCAGTTCATGTCAGACATATATAACGAGCTTTACACCTGAAACCAAGCCGTAACTTCGTAACTAACTTGTTTCATGATTTCTGCTTATGATGCTCAGTCGCCATAAACAGGGGACGATTGGTGCTGCCGAAATTGAAACGGACTATGTTACAATCGAAAGTACTGGGTGTTTCTGAATCGAGCCCGGATTTATTCTTAGAATAACTTTTTTTTTGTACTGCACCGTTTTAGTTCTGCGAAAGAGCAGGGTTTCCCATTGAATCCGCACTTCGTCTACACTATGAATACAGATACGGTACATAGCGTCAACACCACATTCTCAGGTTTTCTTATAGAATAAAAACGAATATTTTATCAGCTTCAAAGCAAAAAAACAAACACAAGTGGAAGTTTTTTAAAATGTAATTTTGGATGCACTCACGCAGCCTTCGGCAGTAGGAAGCAGCAGTTCTCACGCATATCTGACGTAACCTCTGCGAAGACCTCTGCGGAAAGCCGGTCGGTTCGATTTATCCTCTTCGGACAACTGATGAAGGGGCGTATCTAGCAGGGGTGAATCTTCCGGTCGGGTAGGATATGGAAAACAGACGATGGTGCGATCGCATAGACATTGGCGGAGCGACGGATTGACACTTGCGGAACGTCCCTGATCGCCTGGTGCACGGTCGTGGCGACTCTACTACTTCTCGAACCGTTCGGGGCCGGTCCTGTCGTGCATGATCGTACCAGTCGCGAGGAACTTCTCTTACCTTTATTTGAACGATATTTGATCGGGAATAACCGCACTTCTGCGGCAATGTACACAAAACCGGCGCTGAATAGCGGCTTAACTCCGATTCGCGTCTCATCAGCAAACTTAATGCACACGTTCTTCGATCGAAAATTAGCAGGTCAGTATTGAAGGACCACGACGAATTTATCCATAAACGAGCTACAAAACAATTTCGCTTAGGGAAATGAGCGGTTGCGTGCCAACAGGGCTTTCTCATCGCTCACAGGATAATTCGAGAGCATTCAAAAAGTATGCATGAAATGGGGAGCCCTGTTCTTTCGAATGAAATCTAAACGTGCTGAAACGGTGCAGTACGAAATAAATTATTCGAATTATAAATCCGGGCTTCATACCTAAGCACCCTGTATTTTGGCCGACCTTAAAGGGGAACAACGAGTGGCGGGGAGTGCACTGTCGAAATTTGAAACGATACTTGCCGAATTTGAAATTTGCCCTTACCGTCATTAAAATATATGTATTAAATTCACTAGAAACTATTACGAGCAGATATTTCCGACTCACGACATATCCATGGAGGTCCATGAGAACTCCGAAATTGGTGAGATGGCTGCATTCACACACCGTCTGATCCCTGCTAGATGACACTTCACGACAGCCTCTCGTGTCCCATTGATCCCTGCCTCTGCATTATCCAAGAAATTGGTTATCTGGAAATCCTGTTGATGCTTTCGGAATCCTCGTATCTCCCGAAATAGTAAAACGCACTGTTCAGAAAAGTTCCAAAAGCTGCAGCGTTGACTTAGGGGAACAAATGTTGGTTGTTCTCCCTCATGAAGATATCTCCATATTTCCTTATACGGTGGGTCTTGGGGCGGATCCGTATTTTCCAGTATGAGAGTGACGGGATTCCTCAAGTTGAAGGTCTCGTTGACTTTAATTGCGAAGCTAACAATTTTCGAATTCACGGTCTTCTCTTCTCCAAACCTAAATAAGATTTTCAGCTTAATAGGAAATTGGGAGCGATCCTTCGATCACAAGTGAGTGCTTACGCGTTTTGGTGTCCAGGCAACAGTTCGTTTATCTCCCGAATGTCATATAAAACCCCAACATAGGAGTAATTGTCCCCTTGGAGGTCGCTTTCGAACGTTCTTGGCAACTTCAAATACGTCTTGCTGTCCTTACTGGGGAATTTGATTTCATTATTTCCCTTCTTTTGTCCATAAACTTCAATCAGCATCGTGGGTTTGGTATCTTCGAACACAAGTTGTCTATGGAATTGATTCATGAGCGTCTCTGACAGGCGCAGGCAAGAGTCAGTGACTGTTGTGAGAAGCTTTGTGAAAGTCCCTGTTCGGCTATCCTGAAAAGGGGTGAATATCAAAATCCATTGTATTTTAACTCCCATCATTAGTACATGTTCACAGTCTTCAGGAAATTCACATATATTTGACCCTTTCTTAACCCTTTGACTGCCGTTCACGCCGTATGGCATGTTCAGCGCAGCAAACCTCCACTGCCATTCTCGCCATATGGTGTATTCGACGCGGGAGAAGTGCTTCGCAAAGACAGTTGGGCTGGACATTTCAGTCCCCGGCAGTCTTGATGTGTTCGGTGCGGCGAACCTCCACTGCCGTCCTGAAAAGTGCTAGGCAAGGAGAGGTTGGCTGGGCGTTTCAATCTTCGGCAGCATAAATGTTACTACATTCCTTAATTATCTGACGTCACTTATTGCCGAAGATACGTTCTGCATTAAGCAATATACTTTATTGAATGTAGTATGTTAGTACACTGTAAAAATTAGTTTCTAGAATGAAACATTCATATGAACAATATTCGTGGAAGAGCTTTAACTTGGGTTTCTTGGCTTTAACTTTAACTTTCTTGGAGCGAACACAATCTTTGTCTCCTGACTGCAGAATATGAGCGCTACGACCTAAAAGACGCACACGACCATTGCAACTAGTAAATATTAAGCAAATGCAGGAAAAAACCGTTATACTCTGTAAAATTCGAACCCTTTGCTTGACACAGTTAAGTATAAAGTCTATGGAAATAATAGGATGAGCCAAAGCCTATGGCTCACACTGAGAGCGCCAGGTCCAACGGGCTATAAGTGCGTTGGATGGCCAAGCCTTTGGCCTAGAATAGCATAGCCCCATGGACCTGGCTCTTTGAGGGGTGGATGGCCTAGCGTATGGCCTAAAATGATTTAGTCTCGTAGGCCTCTCGCGTTGCAGTGATAGCCACCGCCACAACTTTTTCCCAGCACACTTAATACTCTTGCATCTTCGATTAACTCATGGGGGTTATTACTATTAGCTTATGGGGCAGGTACCACTGATTCTGAAACAGTATGGGCCAACTCCAGGAACTTGTTCGACTTTAGCACAGAGGAAATTTAGCGCATGTGCAGCAGAATACTAACGAATAATTCCTCGCCTCCACATTAGCACCAGTGAACAACAGTGTGAGCGTTAAGTGTGAGTTGCAGCAGAAGCACTTTTCTGTTGTGGCAGCAATGTGAAAGAAATGTCCCCTCCCTACAGCAAAATGTACAGCCTGATAGTGCTCGCTGCGCAAACGACTGTCGTGAGATGAGATGAATTGGAGAAGGTCTGACAAAATGTCCCGAATTCCCTGGTGTAAGGGTAGCACAATTGACCGGCAAGCAAGAGGTCCGGGTTCAATTCCCGGCCGACCAATGGCTTTCGACACCTGAGTGTTGCGTTCCTTGCATGAAGTTGCCCAGTAGGCTGCATAGCTCTCCTATTGCTGAGCTCAGCATTCGCTGCCTCTTGCTGTTCAGCCTTACGCTCTCTACGTGCAACTGGGTACTGTTCATAAGTCATGTTAGCTATTATGGCTAGCAACTCCTAAAAGCATGGATTTAGGCACTTCGCACCGCAACTGCAGTGGCAAACGTTGTTTCCGGGCCAGCACCAATCGCTTATTATCTGCAGCGACTGCCTCATCGCCGTCCTGTGGGACCTCTTTCAACATTTTTTTTTTTTATGTTCAAGTTCACCTCGCAAAAATCGCCATCATTTTGATGGGAGGAGCGGTTCGTTTGCGCGACGTATGAAACAAAGAACTTACGTTATTATTTTGATTCCATCAATCATGAGAAGTCAAGTAAATCGACTATGACATGAAACGAAAAAAGAAAACTATTGCATGGAAGCGATGTCCCGAACCGCCACGCCTTACCTAACGGAAAAAAAATAAATACGGAAAAATCACGAGCAAAGAATGTATTCAAATGGAGAACTTGCAGTCGATCAGTGAAAACGTGACACGCATTCAGTTATTACCACTCTTTGATTGACACAGCTAAGCCTATGGCCTAGAATAGCATAGCCTCAAGGACCTGGCGCTTTGAAGGGTGGATGGCCTAGCCTTTGGCCTGAAGTGACATAGCTTCGTAGGCCTCGCGCGCTGGGGTGACAACCACCACAACTCTTGGGCTATTCGAATTAAGTACAAGTTGGCCTAGCGCTTTAGGCTGTGGATGGTCTGGTCTATGACCCAGAATGCCATTGCATCGTAGGCCCGCACGTGGGGGTGACAGCCACGATCACGACCACCACCACAAATTTTGACCTCTTCGAATTAAAGTAATAGACTAGCGGCCTGCGGCCGCTACGCTGACTGTCTAGTATGTGGGAATTTCAATCGTCTTTTGTGAGCATAACGTCTTCTTGACAATCCTCTGTTCATTGCATTACATTTATACACATTAGCTTACAGCACACGGAGGTTCTGCTCCTAAACACCATCATGATATTCGAGCTGATTGTCACAATCGCCATTGTGAACGCCTCGGTTTAGCACGTTTTCATGAGACTCAAGACGACATTGCTGAATCCGTCTTCCTAGCACATTCAACACTCTTGCTCATCGGCTATTAGCGTTAGCGTATGGTACAGACACCATGATTCTGAAACAGTACGGACCGTTTCCAAAAAATTGTTCGACGGCACAGAGGAAAGTTAGTGCATGTGCGGCACAATGCTAAAGACTTATTCCTGAAAATGCCAACCTTGCATCAAGTTGCTTAACAGGGTGCACAGCTCTCCTATTCCGAAACTCAGCATTCGCTGCCTCTTGCTGTTCTGCGCTCTGAGTGGCCCTAAGCTCCCTACGTACATGTGCATGCTGCTCATCACCGATTCTAGCCATTACGGCTAGCACCGATTTAGGCACTTCGCACCGCAACTGCAGTGGCAAACGTTGTTTTCGAGCCAGCACCAACCGTTTTTTACCAACTGCCTCATCGCCGTCCTGTGGGACCTCCTTCAACATTTCTTCTTCGCGTTCAACCTCACCTCGCAAAAATTGCCACCATTTTGATGGGAGGTGCACCTCCTTTGCGCGACATATGAAACAGAGAATTTTTAGACTATTATTTTGACTTCATCAATCATGAGAAATCAAATAAATAGGCCATAACATGAAACGCAAACAGAAAACTATTGCATGGAAGCGATGACGCGAACCACCACGTCTGACCTAACGAAGAAAAAATACATATAAAAAAACACCCCAGCAAGAATGTATTCAAATGAAGAACTTGTAGTAGATCAGTGAAAACGGGACACGCATTCAGTTAGTAACACCCTTTGCTTAAGACTGTTAAGTATGAAGCCTATAGAAATAATAGGATGAATCAAAGCCTATGGCTCAGGTTGACATAGCCTGATGGACCTGGCGCTAAGTGCGTTGGATGGCCTAGCATATTGCCTAAAAGGATATAGTCTTGTAGGCCTCGCTCGTTGCATTCACAGTCACACCCATAATTTCTTCCCAGCACATTCAAAACTCTTGCATCACCGATTAGCTCATGAATTATTAGCATTCGCTTATGGTACAGGTACCACTGATTCTGAAATAGTACCGGCCATTTCCAATAACTTGTTCGACTTTAACACGAAGGGAATATAGCGCATGTACAGCAGAATACTAACGAATAATTCCTGAAAATGCCTTCCCTCCACATCAGCACCAGTGAACAACACTGTGAGCGTTTAGTGTGAGTTGCAGCAGAAGCACTATTCCGTTGTGGCAGTAATGTGAAACAATTGTCCCCTCCCTACAGCAAAATGTACAGCCTGACAGTGCTCGCTGCGCAAACGACTTTAGTGATTTCAGATGCCATGGAGAGGCATAACATCCCGAGTTCCGTGGTGTAAAGGTAGCACACCTGACCGGCAAGCAAGAGGTCCGTGTTCAATTCCCGGCCGCTCGCCTGCTATCGACACCTGAGTGCTACGTTCCTTGCATCAAGTTGCCCAGCAGACTGCATGGCTCTCCTATTTCTGAGCTCAGCATTCGCTGTCCAGCCTTACGCTCCCTACGTGCAACTGGGTACTGTTCATCAGTCATTTTAGCCAATAGGGCTAGCACCTATTGAAGCACCGATTTTGGCACTTCGCACCGCAACTGCAGTGACAAACGTTTCCGCGCCAACATCAATCAATCGTTTATCTGCAGTGACTGCCTCATCGCCGTCCTGTAGGACCTCATTTAACTTTTTTCAAGTTCACCCTCACCTCGCAAAAATCGCCACCATTTTGATGGGAGGAGCGGTCCGTTTGCGCGACGTATGGAATAACGTTATTATTTTGATTTCATCATAACTCAAATAAATCGACCATGACATAAAATGCAAACAGAAAACTATTGTATGGAAGCGATGTCCCGAACCGCCACGTCTGACTTGACGGGAAAAAAATAAATACAGAAAAGAATACCTCAGCAAAGAATGTATTCATATGAAGAACTTGAAGTCGATCATTGAAAGCGTGACACACTTTCAGTTATTACCACCCTTTGACCCAGTTAAGAATAAAGCCTATGGCTCAGGCTGAGATAGCTCGATGGACCTGGCGCTAAAAGCTTTGGATGGCCAAGCCTATGACCTAGAATAGCATAGCCTCAAGGACCTGGCCCATGGCCTGAAGTGACAGAGTTGAAGGTCCTCGCGCGCTGGGGTGACGACCACCACCACCACAACTCTCCGGCTTTTCGAATTGAAGTATAAGATGGCCTGGAAAGGTGTAGGTCTGGTGCTTTAAGCCGGGGAAGGCCTTGCCTATGACCCAGAATGGCATTGCATCGTAGGCCCGTGCGTTGGGGGTGACAGCCACGACCACCACCACCACTTTTAACTTCTTAAAAGTATTAGATAATAATAGATTACATATTATTAAAATTTCGCATGGGCATCCAAACAGATGTTCGAGCTCTTACCACACGTTATGCAGTGTGAGGCATAACTGGATAGCTGGGATAATTCTGTTCTTTAGATCTTTATCGATTGCCCACTTTTCTCCAATAAGTAATGTCCCTGACAGGCCACAATAAAAAGTCCATTGAGGGTAGTTCAGGTGATCTTGGTGGCCGTGGAATGTGCTCGCTTCGTCCAATCCAGAGACTTGGAAATTTTTGGAAAAATTGGAGGTGCAGCATCTTGGAAAGTTAGGTTTTTATTGAGCATGAGCCCATTCTTAATTTCTCATTTATTGTGGGGCTATATCAAGGAGATTGCTTACTTAAGAATTGTTGGCAATCTCCAAGATATGA